CAAAATATATATATATAAATATATATATATATATTTTTTTTTTCTTTTTTATTTTTTACAAGTTTTAATTAGGATATAAGAAATTACAAAAACATCTTTCAAGTTCTTGTGGATATGACAACTTGTATTTCAAAATTATATTACAATAGATTTGGTATGTTTATCACAAAATCTCAACATAAACACCTAGTGTACAAGGAATAAGTGAATGCATAAGAATAAAGTTAATAATAAATTAAGGATATAAAAAATTATTCCTAAATAATTCTAAAAATCGTTGATTGTTGCTTATAAGTAAGATTAAATAAAAAAATAATTTATTGTTTATATTTAAGATTAAAATTTAATATAAGTTAATTTTAACTTTTAAAAAACGTTATTTTATTTATTTATTTATTTCTTATAAGTACTTTCGGAGAAATATATCTAAATAAACTTCATGTTGTCTTCAAAATGAGTATGTAGCTGTTGCACATGTATTAATCTTTATAAAATGTAGATCTTGATCATAGTTAAGTGTTGAATTGAAATTTTTTTCATTTTCTTATCATGAAATATAAATAAATCCAATTTACTAATTAAAAGTTATGTAAAATAATGCATTTCGTATATGAATTTAATTAGTACTCCATATACCGCTAATTAATTAAGGAAGAAAGAGAGACTACAAAGACATCTACGTCTATAACCTGTATTTAATACAGTCGATCTCTTGGTTAAACCACGTATATTATTACCGACTTCCAAACTACTTGGCCTTGAAAATTATACTATTATCATTTATAATAATGTTCTACCTAATAAGCTCATACAAGTGACGGATATAATACTAGTGTACTGCGTCTTGCATCATCATATTTGGTGATGAACACTAACTTTTGAAATTCCAAGCCTTTAATTAATAAACCCGTGCAAAACATAGGTAAGGGAGCTAAAGGCTTGTGTATACCATGCATCGGCACGTGCAATTCAAAGGAAACAATAAGGTTTTCTTGCAAGTTCCCTTTATATGATAATATGCGTTGACACATTCATTATTCATATATATAATTATCACTGAGGACAGAATGTTGTCATTTAGGGATGTGCATTTTAACTTGTCCGTTAAACATTTATATAAATAACATGATTTTAAATCGCAACACGTTAAATAAATAATATTTAATAGAAATTATTAACCATACACGCATATTTTTTCTTACTACTTCATATAAGGTATTATCACCAGTGTTAAACCTGCAGTTAACATATATTTATTGTAATGAACTTTATTTTGTGAACACTGATGTTGGCAGCATCACAGAGAATATACCACATTCATGATCGAAAGGAAAAAGTGGAACATTAAAAATTGGAAGTAAGAAAGTAAACAAAACCCAATAATTAAAGAAGTGTATCGTGTTCGGTTTTCATCCACACTCTCCCACCTTCTCACCCTCTCTTCTACATAGATTAACACATAGATGCCACATTTCAGACACGCGCTTGCTTGTGCACCAAAATAATTTTATTATGATGCGTAGTGGTCCTGCCGGTATAATTCCATGAATTATTTTACGTCTCAACTCTTACCTGAAAGAAGAGTTCATATGTAATAACACAAGGGAAGAAAATAAAATATATAATTTATTGATATTTTAGCAGCCACTTATTTATAATGTATGATTACGTAAAGGATAACGACATGGTGTGTATATATATTTCACAATGACAAGTCGAGATCATCACCATTTTATTATCTATCTGACTAACTTGTTAACTGCTCCCAAGAAATCATCATCATCATCATCATGGTTGCATTGTTCTCCCCTCCTGTATTCTCAGCTATGGAGTGGCTCTTAGAGGAGGAGCCATTGAGCTACAACGAGAGGTACTTGTACAAAGATGATGCGTCCTCGGAATTTTGTTCAGCACTTGAGGCACAGGTTGAGATTGGACCATCATCCCCTGACCCTGCCATGGTCAAGAAGCTTAGCCACAATGCTAGTGAACGTGATCGCCGCAAGAAGGTCAATCACTTGGTTTCTTCACTTCGTTCACTTCTTCCACTCGCAGATCAAACGGTACTTTATTCAATTCCAGCCACATTCAATGTTTCTATCATATAATTAATTATCAACTGGGATGTTTATTCATCAAAAATATATAAGTAGACAAATATAAACCATGTTCCTCAATATTAGCTTCTCATAATTTTATGCTAGAAAATATGTACTCGTTTCTTCTATTTCTTATTTGTTATGGTTTATTGTTGGATCAATATTCAAACTAATTTAGTTGTTATTGGTTCGAGTAAAGGTAATTGAATTCTTGTAATTGGTATGACTATGAACAAAGGTAGTAAATATTTAGGTTTAGGGATCCGATTACTTTATTATATATAAACAAATTAATACCTATCAATATAACAGTATAATCACAAAACTATAACAAAAAGCAAGTGAAACTTCACCTATTATAATTAAAGTGTCATCGATGTTTGTATAGTGATCTGATTCCATGTTAACGTGGTTGCAGAAAAAAATGAGCATTCCAGCGACAGTTTCACGAGTCTTAAAATACATACCTGAGTTACAACAGCAAGTGCAAGGACTAACAAAGAAAAAAGAAGAGCTTCTGCGCAGAATTTCTCGGCAATTGCAAGGAGAAGCAGTGAACAAAGAATCTCAAAGGAAGGTTAATTCTGCTTTTGTTGTTTCAACAAGTAGGCTCAATGATTGTGAAGCTGTTGTTCACATTTCCTCTTATGAGGTTCACAAGGCTCCACTATCCGAAATCTTGCACTGTTTAGAAAATAATGGCCTCTCTCTACTCAATGCTTCTTCCTCTGAAACCTTTGGAGGGAGGGTCTTCTACAACTTGCATTTCCAGGTGTGTTTAGAAAATCTTCCATTTCAATTTATCTATTATTTTAAAAAGTTAAGAAACATTAATTATTAGTTTATTTATTTATTATTATATCCTTACCTTTATTCTAATCAAGAAAAAAAGAGAAATATTTAATGGAGTAGGATCTGTTAAAGTAACAAGACAGAAAAAGACATGTTAATAAAGGACAATCCTATTATTAATTAATGTCCTATGGCATTGGTTAATGATTAAAAATGCATGAAAAAGGGGTATGCGTATGCCTTAAAAATTTTGAGGGCTAATGAAGTAGTGCTTCTGTTTCTGCATGCAGGTGGAAAAAACTCATAGATTAGAGCCCGAGATTCTAACTGAGAAGCTTTTGTCAATATATGAGAAGCAAAGGATTTTCTGATCGAACTAAAGTTGGCACTAATTAATTGTGATGATCAAACGATCTTCAATGCTTCTGATGTTAAATTTGACACTTAAATATATCTGTACATATTTGGCATATGTACGGATAGAAAGATCAGAAAGGAGTAATCACATGCCCCTTATATATGGTTTGGTAAAAAAGCAACTGGTAGGAAAGTGCATGCACTTTAGGATTTAAGGAATATGATTGAATGTTTTGTGTAAACATAAATGTTATACTCAGCCTTGCCAAGCAAATGTTCTATGTGTCTCTTTCCTTTTATTACGAAAAGAACGCGGATGGTTATAGAGTTTAATTTTAGGTTTGTTAAATTTGACTTATATCATGGTAGTTTTATAGTTATTACTATCTCATTTTCTCAATTTATGTCTGATATGACCTTATCAAATAGTAACATCGATCTTCTTACCTATTAAAGATAAAATCTGTGATACTAGAATTATAGCAGTGCTTTATATAGCAGTTAAATTTTGGATCCACGGTTAAATTTTTTAAAAAATTAGTCTCATAGTTAATTAACATCGTATTTTCCTTTTAATTCGTAGACGATTTTCTTTACATATTACTCCTTAGTCCTTACATGATTTTTTTTATAATAAAATGGTCAGTTTATTTGCTGATTTTTGGTAAAGGGGTTCAGTTTTTGGTATAATATTTTGCTATTCGTTGATGTTGCAAACTTACAATGGTATTATATTTAAGATTTAGTGTTATACATTATGCTCTACCTTCTTTATTATGGAACACTTATAAGCGAATAAAACATACAAATATAAATAATTATATTAGTAGTTAATATTAAATTTAGGAAATAAAATTATAATGTACAAGTTTTATCTTTATTACTTATCATTAAATTTTTATAGGAGAATGAAAGATATTACTCTATATTAAACTTTATACACCAATATTAATAAAATTAATAACTGACAATTGAAAAATTTAAGAGATGAGAAAGAATGTTTATTTATTATATTCTCTTGATTATTATCTAATAACAAAAAAATACATATTTTCACAATCTTTAATAAGAGTAAAAGATGAATATTTTTATAGAGATTATAAAGTGACTTTTAAAAATAACTATTATTTCTTTTTAAATTGTATCTTATAATAAGATTGGAGAGAGTAATATTTAAGCTGAATTATACTTTTGGTTCTATAATATTAAATCCACAGTTTTAGTTTCTTAATTTTTAATTATGATATCTTAATCTCTCAATTTTATAAAATATACAATTTTTGTACTCTCGCTACATGTTTATCCGTTAATTATTAAAATTTGTAACATTCATTCTAACTTAACAATAAGTAAATGATAAGATAATTAATATTTAATAATATTTAGACTAAAATTACACTTTTAATTTTTATTTTCATCAAATTTTATCTCATTTTATCATTTTTATGAGGAAAAAAAGAGTATTAAAAGTGAATTTAATATAAATACTATTAAATATCAATGATCATATCATCTACTTAATCTTAGACATGATATTAAAATTATAATTTTAATGATCAACGGATAAATATTTAATGAGAGAATTAAATTTATAAATTTTATAAAATTAAGAAATTAAAATTATAAATATAAAAATAGAAAATAGAAAATTATATATTTAATATTATAAGAGAATAAAATTGCAATTAACTTGATATTTGTCATGTTAGTCTTTAAATAAAATAGATTTACATTTCGTTCTGATTCCGGTATGAAAAAAAAGTGTACATGTTATCAGTTTTAATCTCTCGAGCTTGGAAAAATATTTTGACACTGTTATAATGCTGGTAGACATTGGGAACTAATTAGTTTGTAAAAGAGAATTATATATAAAAACTAAAGTGTAAAGTTTTTTCATATAAGCAGAGGCTATACTAAAAAAAAAAGTGTCAACTGTTAAGTACTCAAGTCAGTACCGACTTTTCAATTTAACTCATAATAAAAAGCATATTGCCGGTGATACTTTGTAAACCTAAAGAAAAATAATAATCAGTTTTATGTTAAGATTGTATGTCTTTTTAATATATCTAGATATATAACACTAACGGAGATTGTGTCAGAAAACAAAAATTAATTAATGAACAAATTAAAATTAAAATAAAAGTTAGAGGACAACAAATAATTTGGATTTAGTAAACTATACTAGAAAACATAAAATAATTAATTCATAATCATAATAAAGAAAATGTATGAAAGCATGTTTCTTTTTTCCCTTTTTTTTATTTGTAACAAAAGTGTTTCGGATTGGGCTCATGGCTCAATTTACCAAACAAGTTACTTCCGTTTAAAGGGAAGGTGTACCTAACTTTGCTCAATTTCTTGAACTTCTAGATATGTACACCTCATTTTTATAAAATATTTGTTTTTTTTTAATTTTATATTTTCAATTTTTAATTTATTATTTTCTTCTTTTTTTACACATCTTTTTTCTTTTTCAGTTTTTATATGTACTATTTCGTCTTTCTTTAATTTTATACTTGTTGTCGAAAAAATCACACACACCTATAATATTATTAAAAACTAGTTTTACGTTTATATGTGTGTGAAAATTAAAAGTGGGAAGAGAGGAGATAAGAGTAAGAAAACTGAAAGAGGTGGGAGGAAGAGTAATGTAAGACCAAAAGAATTAAAATTACTTACCAAAATAAGTGAGGTGAAGAAAAGGTAAAAGGATACATGTAAAAATTAAAAAAAATGAGAAAAAATGTGTAAAAAAATATACTAAATTAAATATTACGAGTGTAGAATTAAAAAAGTAAAAATTAAAAATATTTTAAAATTAAAAAAAATAATAAAAGAATGTGTACTTATAGAAAAAAAGAGGTGTATATATCATCAACCACCTTCTAATTCTAACTCGGGGGCAGGATTACTTGCCTGGGCTTGATCCGTAAACAAAGAGAATGAGAGAAGTTCTTGACTTGGGCCCAGCATGAAAAGTTTTGGTCATTAAACTTGGACTTATCATATATACACTTCCTTTTTTTTTAATAAGTACACCTCCTTTATTTTTAAAAAATAATATAAAATATTAGTTTTTTTTTTAAAAAATTTAATTTTATATCTTTAACTTTCAATTTTCTACTTTTTTCTTTTTTTTACATATTTTTTTCTCTTTTAGTTTTTACATGCTACTAAAATAGGTGAGGTGAAGGAAAGGTAAAAAGGTGCATGTAAAAATTGAAAAAAGAGAAAAAATATGTGAAAAAATATATATTAAATTAAATATTGTGAATGTAAAATTAAAAAATACAAAATATAAAATTAAAAAAATTAAAAATATTTTAAATTTTAATTATTTTTTTTTAAAAAGAAGGTATACTTATAAAAAAAGAGAGGTGTATATATCATAAACCTTAAACTTGGGCTAAATTTTGCAAGTAGCCCAAGTTTAGGTTTTGCAAATGTCAAATATATGTTTAGGCTATTCACAAAAAAATAGAGACTTTGGACCAAAATAGAAATAGAGCTTCTTTATTCTCTGGTAATTCTTGCCACACTAATTTGTAACGGAATTCCTTTGTAGCGGAATTAGTTTTATTGCCTCGTCCCATCTTTCATATTTATGACCAAAATTTAACATAATATTATTTGAAGAGAGATTTATTTATTTCAAAAATAATTTTATTTATATTTATTTTATTTAATAATTTATATTTTATATTAAATTTTAACTATTTAACAGTTGAATTAAAAAAATTTAAT